TTTTACACTCTCTGTTAAATTACAAAAACTTACACTACCCATCAATTTTAATTTCATTTTTCATTTCATTTCATTTTTGGAAGTGCTATCTGATGATCCGGCGTCCTTTAAAAGGACTCTGGTGAAATGAATTATTATAATGGTACCTGAAAGTGGTCTGTTTTTCTTTTAAATATATATATATATATATATATATATATATATATATAGATAGATAGATAGATAGATAGATAGATAGATAGATAATATTAGTGGTAAATATACATACATATGTAAATATATATAAATACCCATATATGTATATTTTTAGAATAAAAATTCCAAGAGGATAGAATCCAGGTCGAACTCAATGTCCAGGACAGAGTAAGGATATAATAAAAAGGCTTAAACAGTAATATTCCATGGTCATAATTTATTCCATTGGAATCGTAAATACGATCAATTCATCAGACCTACAAATTCGAAAAAAACGAAAAAAACAACTCCGGAAATAAAAACAGAATTTAGAGAGAGTAAAGCATGAGGAGGAGGAGATTAAACCTTAACAGAGGGAATTTTAGGAGAGGTGGGTGGAAGGGTTTAAGTAAGAGTTGTTTTTTGTTTTCTTTTGGAATTTGTAGGTCTGATGAATAGATCGTATTTACGATTCAAGGGAATAAATTATGACCATGGAATATTAGTGTTTAAGACTTTTTATTATATATATATATATATATATATATATATATATATGATGTCATCCATATAGTGGCGTGCTTCGTTGTATCACAGCTCATCAGTGTGGCTAGTCATCCAATTGTTTAAGCCGAGATCGAAACCCGATCGATTTCATAACCAAAGAGTTAATACAGTTAAATACTTGAGGCCGTGGTAAGAGAAAGAAAGAGAACCGGTAAACCAGATCCTGAAGTGGGAAGAAGGGATGGACCTCTACTCCTGTTCAACAGACATGGAAGGAGCGTGGACCGGACGATAGATGAGCGTATCTACTCCAATTAAACTCTGTAAGCGCTTCTAATGACCAGTCGGAAGCAGTAGCCATCAAAGCTGCGAACTTGGTACCCTCACAATGCAAAGTCACAGCCAAGGGTTAATCTGATCACCAAAAACTTAAGACAGTTAAATCATTGTGGTGGTGGTAATAGATCGGGTTCTACAGCCTTGGATGAAAACTGGTCTACCGCAGAAAGAAATGGTAACCTACTGCAGGAAAAAATCGGTTTCGTCAGTCATGTATCGGAAGATACATGATCGATAAAGGAAAAGGAGATAGCTGACAGAGTTTAGTAGCGAAAGACGGACGCACATGAAAGAGTAGTCAGCGACTTCGAGAGACAATTTCCTGGCCATCGGCAGATTATCTCGGGTGTAAACACCAAGGTCATGCATGTGAATGTTGAAATTTTTTCAGCAAAAACGGAGATACCCTGGAACCAAAATTCCTTCATTGCAATGGAAAAAGTCAAGTTCGTTTCGTAAAGGGCAAAGATATCTGGCGACCGTTCCAGGAGGAAGGATGCTACGCTTCAGAAGATGGAACGGATACCGCAAATATTATAGAAAAAAAAGATTGAGGAGGGTAGGTGGTTATTTGTTAGCTGGTTGGATCCGTGTCCTCTCAAGGATCTTGATGTTTGCCATGAACGTCTATTGGGACTCAAGTTCACTGCAGACCTCAAGAGGAACTCATATATCCGATCTATTGCTAAAGATGATGTAATGACAGATGTTTGTTCTCTTAAGGAGACTCCTTTCCATGAACGTCTTTTATGAACCAAACTTTCCTCAGACATTGAGTGGAACTCATATATCCGATCTATTGCTAAAGATGATGGAATGACAGATGGTTGTTCTCTTAAGGAGTCTCCTTTCCATGAACGTCTATTATGAATCAAACTTTCCTCAGACATCGAGTGGAACTCATATAACCGATCTATTGCTAAAGATGATGGAATAATAGATGGTTGTTCTCTTAAGGAGTCTCCTTGACTTGAACTCCTATTTGGACTGAAGCTCTCCTCAGACCTCAAGTAGAACTCAATATATCCATTCCATTCCTGAAGATGGTGGAAAAAATGGTCATGTCGTTGTACCGCTCCAGTAAGTATCTAACACCTCTCACCTCTTATACTTTATATTTTCAAGAGCGTGACAAGAGCGAAAATAGTGTATTTTTGCCAAATCTGAACTGGAGCTTTCAACTCCTCATTTACCTGTGTGAGTAGAGTTCAAAATCACTTACGCGCCCTTATGGGTGATAAATTATTTTCCATCTAACATCCTGCAGACGAAACGGTACGTGCCACACGTTGCTATATACTTCTATGACATGTGCTCTGTCGAGTTACATTCGTTTCTTCGACTACCTTTGACTTTTACAACAATGCCACGTACACAAGGGCATCCCCATTCGCTTCGTATTTCATTAGTAAGGGAGAAGTTCCATTCGAACAGCCCCACCCCCTCCAGAACGGCTGCTTTGTGGAACAGACTCCCGACAACGTTTTCCTCATCGCTACAATTGATCTCTGCCAGTCTTGGATTAACTGTTATCTTTCATGCACCCGAACTTCCTTTCTAGCCATTTCTTACGCTCATACAAATCACACTGTAACCCTGTACCTTGAGTGACTCTTGGGCCTTGTATTGCGTGAACATTATTAAATAAATTCAATTATAGGGTAAATTAGTGATAAATACACATATTAAAAAGAATATATATGCACATATATTCATAAGTGATATGAGATGCTTTAATCATATTATAATCAATATATCTGGGACTCATAAAAGATAAAATGAATATAAAAATTGTGTTGAAATTCGTTAAAATTTAATTAAAGATAAATTGAATTAAGAAAAAAAAGCTTGCAAACATCAAACGGGAATCACATTTTTTTCGCACATATAGATTTCGTTATTGTGAAATAAAATTATTTTTCTATATATAGATATATATGAATAGACAGGGATAGATAGATAGATAGATAGATAGATAGATAGATAGATAGATAGATAGAAATGAAAATGACTGAGATAGATAGATAGATAGATAGATAGATAGATAGATAGATAGATAGATAGATATAAACAGACTTAGATAGATAGATAGATAGATAGATAGATCGAAATGAAAATGACTGAGATAGATAAATAGACAAATATGAACAAACTTAGATAGATAGATTGATAGATAGAAATGAAAATGACTGAGATAGATAGATAGATAGATAGATAGATAGATAGATAGATAGATAGATAGATATGAACAGATTTAGATAGATAGATTGATAGATAGATAGAAATGAAAAGACTGAGATAGATAAATAGATAGATAGATATGAACAGACTTAGATAGATAGATAGATAGATAGATAGATAGATAGATAGATGAAATGAAAAGACTGAGATAGATAGATAGATAGATAGATAGATAGATAGATGGATGGATGGATATAAACAGACTTAGATATATAAATAGAAATGAAAAGACTGAGATAGATAGATAGATGGATAGATGGATGGATGGATGGATGGATGGATGGATGGATATAAACAGACTTAGATAGATGGATGGATGGATAGATGGATGGATGGATAGATAGATAGATGAAATAAAAATGGCTGAGATAGATGGATAGATAGATAGATGGATGGATGGATGGATAGGATTCGCATATAAGTATAGTCCTGGGTATGACGATAAATTACATCCGGTAGCAAGGCTTCGGATCAATAGATTAGAGGCTTTGAGGAGCGTAGAATCACCTCTTAACTGGCGTTATTCCTAGGTACCCCCAGACCCGTGGTGGTAGCACCTGTTAGGGTCACAGCTATCGGTAAATAGTGAACCCCTAAGCAAAAATCAACCGTTCATCTTATAATAAAATTATCAACAATACATTTTATAGCAAAATGACAATCAATTCAACGCTAAAAAAAATATGAAAAAAAATGTTTATACTAAAATAACCAACAATACATTTTATGATCTACAAAAATATATCTAAAAACATAACTTTAGCCTAGAAGTAAAAAATAAAGTACAAAATATCTGTAGGTGAAAGCATAAAATTTCATACAGATTATTTCGATATCCAACGAAAGAACCAACATGAAAGGACTCTTTCATGACATTAGTCCATTAAAACAAATGGTATTCTAAAATATAACTTCAACAAAACAGCATAAATAAACCTATCACCGTCTTTAGTAATCATGTCCATACAGACATGTAGATACACAAAAGCTGCGTATCATCTACCATGTATTCGCTTGTGAAATCAGAATAACGTATATCATACTTTTATAACTTCAAAGTTCCAAAGAAAATTAAATTTCACCATTAAATGACCCATAAGGTGTTGATATACCGTTAAACAAACTAATACATCAAGCAACCAATCAATTGCGTAAAAGTTCAAAAAACGAGTAGAGCATATACATATATATCAAGAGTCAGAAGTTGTATCTAATTTTAGATTATTTTATCGTCCATATATTTATTCAGGCGACAGATTTCAAAGTGATTTGTAGAGGAAAGGATATGTCCCTGCGATCATTATGATGCTTGTGTCGATATCACACCGATTCCACATGAGGAAGGTACTGCTGCTGAGTGAGAATCCGGTGACCAGTCGCCTTCTCTCATTTGAAATAACTATGCTTGTCATTTACTTGTTCCCATGCACGGCAACGGGATAGGGTACAAGCTCGTTTCAAAGTAGGAAACGAAACATCTGCATATGAGTTAGGGCCAAAAATTGTGGGCTCCCCGCAACAAAGGCTGCGCTCGTGTTGATATTCCGCCGACCCTCCCTCGATCTTGCAATAGACTTGACGTTTTGAAGTAAATTAATCAATCTACGGAGTTATGTCTGCCAAAAAAATATCATTAGTAGCAATTAGCTGACTGCCTGACTGGTGAAAAATTACACGCATTCATAAAACAAAGTAAATACGCGACTCTATTGTTTCTTAGGAATAGGAATTCAAAGAATTATGTTGTTTTGTTAAAACAAAAAATACAATATTTTTGTGAGACTTTGATCCGTGATGGTATTTGTAGTTCTTTTTTTTTAATTTGAAAGGAAACAAATACTAATTTATTTAAATTTGTAGAGTTGCGTTTGAAGATTATTTCTTTCTTTGCTTTCCACACGCGTTTTCCTTTATATATATATATATATATATATATATATATATATATATTAGACCAATAATAGGAAACATATCAAAAGGACATTCATAGCAAAAAGAACCAATTTTTACGGTTTTTACTTCTGATTATGTAGGCAGAACGAGTCAAAAGATTAGAGACACAGACCAACCAAAAATTACCAGCCGATGTTCATAAGAAAAATGCGTACACTTTATATAGCTTATTTAATCAGATTCAGAGAGGGCTCAACAACAAGCAGTGTGCTTGGTCATATAACTCGAATGCGTTCTGAGTGCTGAGTATGATTAATACCGGTATTATTTGGAATCAATATATATTAAGACCGACCAACCTTCTCTCTGTAAAAATGGCGAACTGGATTATCGCCCCTCTCACATCAGAGTAAAAGTCGAAGACAAAAAATGTGCACAATGACTAAATAATATGCAAAGTCAGACTAAGTTTATATGGAAATAAGATATAAAGCATTAAAATCAAATTATATTTATGCATATCAACTGCCCCTTCTCCTTACAGAGAGATGACTGGTCGGTCTTATTATAATATATAATTCCACTGTACTTAACATTTAATTTAAAAGAGGGTTCAATATGGAGTAGAGGTAAATATTATTCATTTTAGTATATTAAAAATCGCTAGATAATGACAATTATGTTTCAATACCAATTTCGAGAGAAAAGTAATCATAGGTTTAGTTTTATACGTGTGTTCACTTTACATTAGAGTGATTTGATGTGATGTGTTTGTTTAACGGTATATCAACATCCTTATGGGTCATTTAATGCCGAAATTTAATTTTCTTGGTAACACTGAATAAATTTTTCTCTCCGGAATCGATCCTTCATATCTACAAATCAACAATTCGCCCTTGCATGGAGTATTGCTGCCATATATGGTCTGGAGCCCCTTGTTTGTCTCGGGGTTCTTGATAAGATCCAGAGACAGATATGCAATACAATTGGCCCTGATCTGGCATCTTGTCTGCAGTCGCTCTCTCACAGACGTGCCGTCACTCCCCTACCCATCTGTCATTTTTTACAAATACTTCCATGGTAATTGCACTGATGGGCTGCTTTCGCTGGTTCCCAGACTTCATGAATTCAAGCGCCCTACGAGGCTGGCATCCCGCTCTCACCCTTACACTGTAGAAACTTTTAAATGTAGCCGTCTCTTCTACTCCAATAGCTTCATATCTCGCACCTATCGCTTGTGGAACTCCCTGCCCTATTCCTGTTTCCCTGATAGATATAATCTCAAATTATTCAAATGTAATATCAATCGACATCTCCAGATGCCTTGATCTATCCACTATCCTTCTCCTTCTCCTTTCCTCTATCACTCTTATCTGCTCTCGCTCCAAATCTTCTGCAACCCCTTATGTGCCAGTGGCTTGCCACTTGCTTGGGGTGAAATGATTAAAAAAATATATGTATATATATATATATATATATATAGTCGACTCTCCGGTCGAGATTCGACGTATGAGGGTCAAAACAGATCAGTTTCCAGGAAACCGACAGCCCGACACCGGCACATGAGATTTGATTATAGTGGTGAAGGCTTCGTGCAGGACCATTCACACTTTTGAAGGGACGAATACAGAGACCTGGTGCACCGAGTGCCACAAGGTTCCCAAACGACCCTCCGCAGGTTTTTGAATTCAGAGTCGTCCTTCTCTAGACCAGTTGCCATCAAGGCTATAGAACCCAGTCTGTCCTGCTATTTTACCCATAGCTGGAGGGAGGGAAGAGGATTCATACCTTTCCCAAGGGTATTAGCACGTAAGTGAATCTAATGGATTCGACTGGAAATCGAACTAGGCTCTGCGATTCCTCAATCCGCTATCCATTACTCCACCGTGCCAAATTTGAAGTTATTAAAATATGATATACGTTATTATATATAGAGAGAGGTTATTCTGCTTTCATAGTTGTGAACATTATTACTAGATACACCATACGTTTTATGTTGTAGTTTTTTTTTAACCTATGATATACACAGTTTGATATCTTTAAGAAAGTGTAGAAAATCATATGGATTAATGACATGTTGGTTGATGTATTGTGGATGATTTTACTATTAACTGATATTATTGGTAATTTTCCTATAAATAGTTATTGTCGGTAATTTTCCGATAAATAGATAGTTTGTAATTTTTTTTTATATCAGTTCATCCCATAAGTTCTTTTTGTTAAAATGAACGAAATTTAAAGAGTATTTTATAATGTCTAATGGAGTTGAACATTATTTTTATGTTTAGATGCATTTAAAGTGATCAAATTTTATTTCCGAGAAGAATAAAATTAAATTTTGTTTGATTAAAACCCTGCTAACATGGAAGTACCCAAGAATCATTTGAGGCACATTATGCTTTATGAGTTCAAGAAAGGAAACTAAGCAGAAAAAGCGGCTAGAAACATTCACTCAGTTTATGGAGAGGAATGTGTGAATGAAAGAACTTGCAGAGGATGGTTTGCAAAATTCAGAGGTAGAGATTTCACCCTTGAAGTTAAGGATCGAACCAGACGTCCAGTTGAGTTTGATGAAAAGATTCTTGAAGCAACCCTTGAAGAAAATCCTGCTTTATCAGTTGAGGAATTGGCAGTGGTTCTCAGTTCAAACCATACAACTGCTCATCGTCATCTTCAAAAACTTGGGAAAGTTCCTAAACTTGGAAAATGGCTGCCTCATGAATTGTCTGAAAACAACCTCAAATCCCGAGTTGACATCTGCTCTTCTCTCCATTCTCGCCAACTTGTTTCACCTATTTTGCATAGACTGGTGACTGGCGACGAAAAATGGATCTTTTATCGAAATGTTAATAGTCATAGTTTAGTCATATTAACATCTATTTTATGCATTTTCTAAACGTAGCTTAGATGTGGCACAAGACTGAAATTATTGGGGACCAAGCTATTTAAATAGATGACGGTTGGTTTGGTCTGGTTTGTTTTACGGCATATCAAACTCAATATGTTATTTAATGCTGACAAGATTTTTATTGCTGGTAATATTTCTTTTAAATCGTATTGCTGGCAATTTTTTTTTTTTTCAAAAATGTATTAATGGTAACAAATTTTCCAGAAATGTATTGCTCGTATTAAAACCTATTTTGTACTTTCATAATGTTTTAACCCCTCTTGGGGGCTTAACTATTTGCCTATAACTGAGACCCTGACAGGTGCTACCACACAGGGTCAAGGTAGAGCTGGAAACACCAGCCAATTAAGAGATAGTTTCAGGCTTCTCAAAACCCTCTGATCAAAGGCCTGGATGCCAGATGTAGTTTATCGTCTTACCCAGGACTCGCATCTAGTTTATCGTCATACCCAGGACGGATGACAGTCGGGGTACTTCGAAGTGGTGTAATGGTTAGCAAGCTTGTCTCGCTAGATTAGTTACTACTCGATCATCACTGGGTGATCCACACTTTCGGCCTTGTGCCACATCTAAGATATGCTTAGTAAATCATTATATATATGATATTCGGGGCATTACTTACCCAGGACTCGGATCTAGATTATCGTCATACTTAGGACGGATGACAGTCGGAGTACTTCGAAATGGTGTAATGGTTAGCAAGCTTGTCTCGCTAGATCAATTACCACTCATCTGGATACTCATTAGGTGCTCCATATTTTCGCCCTTGTACTACATCTAAGCTATGCTTAGTAAAATCCCTATATATATATATATATATATATATATATATATATATATATATATATATGTGTGTGTGTGTAAGCAAATATATGGATATAGATCCGACTGTATGAAGAAAAATATACTGAAAAAACAAACAAAAATCTTAATCTGCGATTATGCTGTCTTAATGTTTAATGGCAACGTCGGACGTTTCGGTCTAATAGACCATCTTCAGGACATATTCATAACCCATAATTAACATGTTTGGATTGGTATTGCTTTTATGTCCATCGTCTTTTTCATGTTGAATTGTATATGGTCTATGTTAATTGAGTTTTATGAATATGTCCTGAAGATGGTCTATTAGAACGAAACGCCCGACGTTGACATTAAACATTAAAACAGCATAATCGCATATTAGGATTTTTGTTTGTTTTTTCAGTATATTTTTCTTCATATATATATATATATATATATATATAATATTCGGGGCACTACAACGTGTTGGAATTACGATTTTCAAAGCGTAGCTTAGATTTGGCACAAGGCCGAAATTATGGGGCTCCCGGTAAGGATCGAACTCACTACTCAGTTGTAATTGAGCTTGCTAGCCATTACACCGCGTCGTGGTGCCCTCGACGTGATGTAATGTTTAGCAAGTTTGTGTCTTTAGATTAATTACGAGGGAGTACGATCCTCACTGGGTGCTCAATAATTTCTGCCTTGTGCCACATGTAATCTACCTTTCATAAACTACTATAGACATAGTGATCGGGGCCGTTCGATGTGTAGTAATTTTTAGCAAGCTTGTCTCGCTAGATCAATTACGTCTGACTAGTGAGTTCGATCCCCATCTGTTCTGCATTACTTTCGGCCATCTTAGCTACCTCTAATAAACCACGAGATAAATGACAGATAGTCTGCTAACTTTGCACCATCTAAAAAGACAGTCGGAGAATTAGTTTCTGGGTTATAAAAATATTTACCTCTGTTTTCATCGTAACATTATTTTTTTTATTTTTTTTTTAGTTTTCTGTTTTCTTCTTTTTTTTTTTACCCATCGATGTTTGTTTTTTGGGGGTTTTTTTTAATGTTTTATTTTCGCTGATATTACTTCATCAACGGAATAATGATATTGATATAAAAATAGTATGTGGCGTTTACCTTTCTTTTTCTATCTTTAATTTTGTATTTATATTTGCCACACCCTCCCATTGTCTGCTTCCTCGCGGGGGTACGTTTTGCTTTCTTAATTAAACTGGTACCAACTTCAGGTCATTTGTACAGAGCGTGAACCTTTTCATACGCCTGTTCGCGGACGACTCGCAAACAAGATCAGAGACATGCGAGAGGTCAGGGGCATTACGTATATTTTGTCAAGAACATCTAATTGACAATATATATATATATATATATATATATATATATATATATATATATATATATATATATATATATATGGTGTTTAGGGTTTTATTTGTCGTGTTTGATTATACAATATTGGTAAATGAAATTTTATTATCTCTTTCGAGTAATGTAACGCTTACCAGGTGCTTTGTCTATCGACTCCAGTGTAAATAAAACCACGAGGAAAACAAAGAACTTGATGTTGATTTTCAACAATTAAATTTTGAGCACATTGAACAACATGAAGAGCCGTTTATTACCTTTGCTCTAGTCGGGGATCGAGCTAAGGAAAAAATGGCGCTCATATAGAGAAATTCTTTTTACATATAAAACGCGTTCAAATACAGGAAATATAGTTCCGTTTTTATTAATTCTTTGGGGTTTTTTTGTTTGTTTTTAAGATCAGTTGTTGCTGTTGTTATTATTATGATTATTATTATTAGTAGTAGTAGTAGTATTAGTATTATTATTATTATTATTTCCTTTGATTTCTGCTGCGTACTCATTTCTTTCCGGGTCCCAACCAGAGACCTAAGGTCAGAAATGGTATCATAACATTACTCAGTGAGAAATTTAAAAAAAAAAAATTTACATAGATAAAGTCCTTTGTAAGGTGTGCGCTGTATTTGTGAGTATATATATATATATTTAATTTCTTTAAGGCATGGGCCACCAGAGCCACTGAGTCTATCGGAACCTTTTCCAATCAACCCGTGGGCTCCAACTACAACTGAAATCAATGAAGTCCTCAAGTGCGAAATTGTTGAGATTTCAATTTTAAGGTCCTTGTACTTTGGTAATTTGTTGAAGATTTTCAACGATACATTACAGTCTGCAGGTATTGCCAAGTCAATAAGAAAGCACATTCTGTTTTTTGTGATTTGTCATGGCGATGTCTTTGCGATGAGCAATGTCTGTGTGTTTTGTAAATTCCTATACAATTGTTTAAGACCTATGTCTGTAACCGGGTTTGTGTGATGTTCATACCAGTTTCTTGCAGTTTCGTTCTCGTAAGGGTTGTATATTTTCAAATGCAGATATTGTCTCAACTCTGTCATGCCGGGTTTAATTTTCAGTGCGTGCCAATACAAGATGATCAATTGTTTCTGGATATTTATCGCAGAATCTGCATTTTGGGCTAACATATTTTTCAGCATGTGTGCTTGGTTATTTCTATTTAGCAAGCATTGGCAACAAGAATAAAACTTTCGGTTTCAGTTATAAACCTTGCACTAGATAGCCACTGATGCGCACGGGTTTTTTCTACATCAGCTTGTTTGGTATGGACAGAGTATTGACCATGAAGAGGCTTATCTTGCGATCGCTTTTGAATTTGCTATTTTGTATTTGCTTTTGATTTCCTTTTGAGGTACTTTGCCGCTTCAGTAGGTACATTACGGTTTACTTGTACTTTTTCACCAACTTGAAATTTCATTTTGAATTTGGTGGCTTCCTTTATTACTGAATAAATTTTAAAACTTATTTCCTTTATTTTCTTTGACGCATATCATCAGTCAGTCTTCTGTAGTTTCCAGGTATCTTTGAAAACCTATTGCTTTGGTTTTGTAAGACAGTTCTAGTTGAACTAATCCTCTGCCTCTTTCGGATCTGGGTACTTACAGACGATCAATATCAGCTTTAGGATGATACATGCAGTGGCAAGTGAGAAGCTTTCTCGTTTTGAAATCCATTGGATTAATGTCGGCTGTCGTCCAATCAAAGATACTCAATTGCACCACAGAGACAGCCAAAATGTTAATGGCTGATATTTTGTTTTATAAATTCAACTTTGTATTTAACACCAGACGCACACGCCTGTAGTATGCTCTTCTTACTTTCTCCCCTCCTGGGTATGCTGTATTCCATCTCCTTCATGGACTCTTTGGTATTTATAGGCTTCTCCTCGTTCCAGTTCCCTAATCTTTTTGACTATATCTAGATCCGTTGGGTGTGTTTCTGTAATTCTCGCTGTCTTGAGTGTTAAAGAAAACGGTTGTAATGGTAATCAACGCGAATGAAACCTAACCAGCGTAGAGGCATGCATGTTAAAGGTGCCTTAGTTGCATATTTATTTAATCCGAAAATCAATACTGATGATATCACTGAAACATTTTACAGTATTGAGGAGAGCCTTCAACTCGCTGTGGTCTTCGTCAAAGTGTTTGATATAACCCATGTAGAATAAGTGATTAAAGACTTTCTTTTTTTTTACATTGTATTCATATTTATTACTGTTTAGTTCAAAACGGGGACTAAAGACAGACAGAAAAGAAGGGGTCACAGGGAGTCTCTTTGAAAGGAGAGAAATGTACGCAAAGCATGTGAAGTACCCCTAACTATGTTTTTTTTTTTAAATTATTTTTAGTGGTGCAAGTTATTTGATAACACACATTTGTTTGCTCTTTTTGACCCTCATTGCCAAAGCTATGATTATCATCCTATTATAAATGCGATTGTTCCCCACCTACGTTAGTTTGCACGACCGTTACGCCCTGCCAATACTTCATAAATAATGAACTATTCCGTTTTGATCGCGTGGAAAGAGCGGGAAAAGACACCTCTTGGAGAAAGAAAGAAAGAAAGAAAGAAAGAAAGAAAGAAAGAAAGAGTGATAAAAGCGTTTAATGGCTGATTCGGTAAAATGGAAAATGTTTTCAATTTCCAATCTTTTTATTTGCACCCAGTTCTTAAAATAAACACCCGCATTCATATTTATGATTGTTGTTGCAATATTTTTTTATTACAGTTGAACTCAAATATTTAACGATGCGATAGGTGAATTTATGAGCTTATTCAATATTTAACTTAAGAATTAAGATTCATCAGAAAACTAAAATAGGAAAATTAGTTATTATTTTTATTATTATTATTATTATTATTATTATTATTATTAAAAAAACAAAATGGCTGACGTAACTCTTCCAGAAGAGAAGAAAAGAAACAGAAAAAAAAAACAGTGTTTGAAAATTATCAAAAATATTTCGGCAGTATGTCTGTCTTCATCAAGTTATGTCGAAAAATTCTATACAAGTATAAAAATATAAACAATCGACAAAAAATACAAACATCCCCTGTTTTAAGAAAACGGTTGTAATAGTAATCAACGCGAATGAAACCTAACCGGAGTAGAGGCATGCATGTTAAAGGTGCGTAATACGATGGTGATTTTGCTCATCTTGTAATTTTCCGTTAGTTGATTAGTTGATTATTATTATTATCTATAATATTATTGTGCTATGGTCTATATAAGTAAAATGTTGGTGACGCTGTTTAAGCGCAAGTCATTGATGCTCAATTAATGTCTAAAATGGCCTCAAGCTGCTTGGGGCAAAAGATGGCTCGTTAATTTTAATGCCTTTAAAACTAAATATCTCTCAATTATTTGAGAGGCCCTTCTCTGCCTTCCATCAGCATGTCTGATGTTAACCTCGAGGAAAGTGATTCGTTGCGTCTTCTAACGTTCCCATCTGACATGAAGTTGAAAGAATATATTGAATCCATCGTTAGGAGGCACGGTGGAGTAATGGATAGCGGCTTGGATTGAGGAATCGGAGAGCTGAGTTCGAATTCCAGTCGAATCCATTACATTCACTTACGTGCTAAGACACTTGGGAAAGGTGTGAATCCTCTTTCTTCTCCCTCCAGCTATGGGTAAATAGCAGGACAGACTGGGTTATATAGCCTTGGATGGCAACTGGTCTAGGAGAAGGAAAACTCTGAATTCAAACCTTCTCTTAGAGGAGGGTGAATGGAGTCTCTCTGAGCCTTGGTTGGCAATCCATTTAGTGTTGGTGTCACGATAAAAAACACCCTTGATAGCCTAGCGAAGCATCAAAATTCAGCTATTTGACAAGATTATGAACTACACCAATCAAAGTATTGGTGAGTTCAATCTCGGCTGAGGCCTGCAAGATCATGATGTTAGAATGCTTGTTCCCTGTGCCAGATGATAACATTTTTCTCTCCAGAATCATCCATTCATCTATTCTTAGAATCTTTTCTTCCAAATATGGACGGATGTCCCTGCTATTTACCTTGAGCTCCTTGACAAATTCCAAAGAAGAATCAGCAATATTATTGGTCCTGATCTGGCGGATCGGCTCTAGTCACTTTCCCGCCGCCGTAAGGTTGCCTCACTGTGTCTTTTCTATGAATAATCTCATGGTAATTGTTCGAATGAGCTCTACGCTATGGTACATAGAGTTTTTTTCATTTAAACGTAGTACTAGACTAGCATCGAGATCTCATCAATTTACAGTTGAGATGGTAAGATGTAGCCGTAAATTCTATACTAACAGTTTCTTTCCTCGCTTGTGGAACTCCCTTCAAGTACATTTTTTGTATTTCTTTATGGCATAGGCTACCAGGGTTCCCTTCAATAATTCTATTAGACGATTTCCCAATCAATACGAGTGTTCCAACTACATCTGGAATTACTGATGTTCTCATGTGCCACATTTTCAAAATTTATACTTCAAGATCCTTGTACTGTGATAGATTTTGAAGATCTTCGAAGATAAATTACAATCTGCAATGACTTCTATGTCAATAAGAAAGCTCATTCTGTTTTTCTTGGATCACAATGTTTAGCCGATTAGATTTGATTATTCTGTCTGTGTGTATTGTAAAGTCCCATAAAATTGTTACAGTCCCGGTGTGGTTTCTTTCCTGTAAAAGTTGCATATTTTCCAGTACAGATATTGGCCCACTCTGTCATGCCTATTTGTGTATTCAGTTGGTGCTAATCACTAGAAAACCAGATGCAA